AAGAAACTGGCTTTGTGAAAGAAGAGCAGAATGATTTGCTAAGAGGGCTTACAAGGAAGCCAATAGCTCATTCATCAGCCATTCAGCAAAGAAAAGCAACTGGAGAATCCTTAAGTGTGTCAGCTCTAGAAGAAAATTTCACTTTTTCTTAAAGAAAAGAAAAAAGCAGAAAAAGTCTCACAAAGGAAAGCACTAATCTTTTAAACTTATAGCTACGAACATTTCAATGACTCTACAGAATTATAAAAAAATTACAGCAGTATTATAGAAATGGTCCCAAATTACACTGACACAGAAGGACCCAGGAGAATTCAAGTTTTTAAACAAAAATGACTGCTGATGATAGAGTGCCTTTCTCAATGAATCTACAACTCCCTCTGAGGCACTTAATTTATAATACAGAATATAATTTGAATACTTTTTCTTGAAAATTTTTCTTGAAACTCCTCTTTACCTTTCCATCTTGGCTGTCCCCTTGAGATCTCTTTCATTCACTCTGCTCATATGGGTCACATTCGGTACTCTCTTGGCTCAATGACAGTAGATCTCAGACCACTTTTCAATCACAATTATTTAACAGATCCTCCTTTTAAATTTATATTACTCTATAATGTAAATCTATCAACCTCATCCAATAAACTCCAAGACATCCCTCTTTCAGCTCACTTAATATTTTTCCTCTCCAGTTCCATTAAAATCCTGAGTTATTTTGACATACATGTTTATAATCTAGATGTGAGCCCAGCCTTATCATTCCTAAAGCTTCTCTATTATATCCACAATCATCTACATTATACTTCAGCAATTTACTCATTTATTTAATCAACCCTTTACAACTTCCTAATATTCAACCCCGTCCTCCTTTCACACAAAACCTCTCCTTCAATCTTGTGAAAATCTAGCTTAATTGTATCACACCTAGTTTATCAGCTGTCCCCTGGCTTCTTTGACCCCCTAACCAATTTTTAACCCCCAGTTACACATTTCAGATATACTCTCACTAGCATTCTCAGAATATGTGCCAATTAATCCACTTCGTAGAATAGAGCAAACAGGTTAATCCCTATGGAGGGTGTTCTTGCTCCTAAATTGCTGAGTATTGGGGAAGAAATCATTTAATTCTAGAGATTCTTCACTAAAAATCTGAGTATTCTAGTTTCATAAAGGATCCTTGTCAATGCTATATGGTCATCCAAATAACTAATAAGTCTTCATCCATTCCCATTGTTCCTCAACGAAATTAAATTTTAAAAAGCTGTGAATCATGAACCTGCTTCTTAGCTTCCCTGTCTCTATACTGGCTGCACACTAGAATTACCTAGAGCATGTTTTTTAAAATGTCACTGTGTTGACCTCCCCCCCAACAAAGAAAACCAATTAAACCAGAATGTCTAGGTATGGGAAGCACATATCTGCTCTACACTTTTTATTTGCCTCTAAACGTTCATGGGCTCTTCCTTTCTCCTCTAACAACTTCACCATCATCTTGATCCATGAATTAACTTTTCCTAATAACTTCAATCTTTTTTTCTTGTAAATCTAAAACTACTCTAAAATTTAAAAGTTTATTACAAAAAAGGCTGTAATAAACAAGTAAATAAAGGTTATTTTGAGCTAAGCATCATTAAAAAATTGAGAGTCCATATTTAACCATTTAACAACATAATGCATTAAGTAAACTATTACTTAAAGGATATACCATTTAACAGTATGCTGTGGTTTATGTTATCAAAATATATACAATTATATGTAACTGTAAAATAAATACTTGGATAATAAAGTCTAGGTTACAGTTGCAAAAAATATAATTATTAAATAGATTTCTTCATAACAGTGGTGAATACAGGAAATCAATATATTCAACTTTTAGAAGCAAAGAAATGATCTCCCTAAAATATATAAGGTATTGTAGGATGCCAGAGGACAGTATATTTTTGTGGAATCTGAACTGTTACACCAAATGCCAACTAAGATGGTATTTTTGCCTCAGAAGGGCTTTTCAGCACCCCTTAGATAAACATAAACATACCCTGTCCTTAATGCTAACCTAATTCTGACAAATGTTAATGTCCACTTAAGTACTGGTCCTCAAATTGATAGAAGGTGAACTCAGAATCATCTGAAATGGTGTTTTTCAAAATATTTTGCTTTTCATCTTTTCTACCCACTTTGAGCTATGTCCCAACGTATACTCATTATTAGACTGTGATAAAATCTTTCATGAAAATTTCAAAATACTGAAATTACCTTTCTGCAAGCTAGTCTGAGAGAAATCGGTTTATTTTTTTCATTGGCCCATGTTACTAATAATTTTGGTTTCCACTAAAGTTCAAAATGGTTTAGAAATCTGAAGTCTACAGATGATTATACAATGTGAAGAGTCTGAATGTGGAGCTACAAGTGTTTGTTCTTGAAAAGAGAAAGTGTTCAGCCAAGAAGAAACAGAAAACCTGAATTGTCCTTAACAATTGAGGAAATGGAATACGTAGTTTAAAATCTCCAGGTCAAGAAGATTTCACTGGAGAATTCTATCAAACATTTAAAGAAGAATTAACATAATTTCTAAAACTGTGTAATTTCACAGATCACTTCCAGAAAATAAATGAGATGGGAACATTTCCCAATACATTTTATGAGGTATCAGCGTGATACCAAAATTGGACAAAGACAGTATAAATAATGAAAAATATAGATCAATATCTGACATGAACTTAGATATAAAATACTTCAACAAAATATTAGCAAATAGAATTCAGCAATACATAAAAAGAATATAATACAATCAAATGGGATTTATTCCAAAATGCAAAGCTGATTCAGCGATTGAAAATCCATCAATGTAATCTACCATATCAACAACCTAAAGAAGAAATTGACTCCCCCAAATCTGACAAAATGCAACACCCATTCATGACAAAAGGGCTCAGTAAACTAGTTGCTCAACCTGATAGAGAACATCTACAAAACTCTTACACCTAGTATCATACTTAGTGATGAAAGACTGAATCCTTTCTCCCAAAGACCAAATCAACAGTAAAACATAAAACTATAAAACTTTCTGAAAAACACAGAAGAGAAGGGCTTCCCTAGTGGTGCAGTGGTTGAGAGTCCGCCTGCCGACGCAGGGGACACAGGTTCGTGCCCTGGTCCGGGAAGATCCCACATGCCGCAGAGCGGCTGGGCCTGTGAGCCATGCGCGTCCGGAGCCTGTGCTCCGCAATGGGAGAGGCCACAACAGTGAGAGGCCCGCATATCGCAAAAAAAAAACCCAAAAAACAAAAAACAAAACAACAACAACAACAAAAAACACAGAAGAGAAAAAAAATAGAACTTTGTGATCTAGGGCTAGGCAAAGAGTTCAATTTGACAACAAAAGTAAGATCAGTAAAAGGGGAAACTGATAAACTGGACTCACTAAATTAAAATCTGCAAAAGACCTTGTTATGAGAATGAAAACGCAAACCATAGACTAGGAGAAGATATTTTAAAACCACATATCTGACAAAGGACTAGTATCTACAATATATAAAGAACTCTCAAAATTCAGTAAAAAAAAATTCAATTAGAAATAGGCAAAAGACATGAAAGATATTTCACTAAAGAGGTGATACACAGATGACAAAAAAGCAAACGAAAAGATGTTCAACACCATTACACTAGGGAAATGCAAAATAAAACCACAAATTAAAATTATATACCCACGGAATGGCTAAAATAAAACAATGACAACACTGATGCTGGTGAGGATATGGAAAAACTAGGTCCTTCACACAGAAATGGTGGGACTGTAAAATGATACAGCCACTCCAGAAAACATTTTAGCAGTTTCTGATAAAGCTAAACATGCAACTACCATTGCAATTCAGCCACCGGACTCTCTGGCCATTTATCTCAGAGAAGTGAAAACTTAAGTTCACACAAAGCCTGTACAAGAATGTTCATAACAGTTGTATTTTTAATAGCCAAAAACTGGAAACAATTCAGGTGTCTTTTAACAGATGGATGGTTAAACAAACTGCAGTACATCCATACCATAGGATATTACTCAGTAATGAAAAGAATGAAGTACTGACAAATACAACAACTTGGATGGATTTTGAAGGAGTTATGATAAGTAAAAAAAAGCCAAAGCCAAAAGGACATATACTATATGATTCCACTTACATAACAGTCTTTAAATGATGAAATTACAGACATAGAGAATAAATTCAGGAGGTGGGGAGATGGGGTGGGTATGGCTAGAAAGGGCAACAGGAGGGATTCTTACTGTGATGGAACTGTTCTGTATCAATACCAATATCCTGTTTGTGAAACTGTGCTACAGTTTTACAAGATGTTAGCATTGGTGGGGGGGGGGTGTCACTGAGTAAAAGGTATATAGGATTTCTCTGTATCATTTTCTAGAATTGCATGTGAAACTACAATTATCTCAAACAAGCACCGTTGTATATATATTATATTTATATTTGTCCAAAACTTTCTTTGGTATGTTCCCACTGAAAATTATTTCATTCACTTCAAATCATATCATAGGAAGAAATTTCTATATCATAGGAAGAAATTTCTCATCATTAGAGGTACTGAAAAGTAAACAGACTTCCTTGAGTACGGCCTCTTGATTAAACTATTTGATCAGAGTATGTTTAAGGGGGCTACTTCATTGCCCCTTCATTGCCCCTAATATATATGTAGGTGACCTACAAGGCAATATTTGAACCAAATTCTATAACATATGTACCTTTATACAGGACATAAAGATAAAAAAATCTGTTTTATGATTACATGTGGATTGGTTAAGTAAATATTTTATACAATATAAAAATATTAGCCTATCAAAGTCATTTCCTAGAAAACAATGACTTTGAGCTTACATTTAAATGCACTTATAGTTGATTACAACATTGAACAAATGTTTAATTCTATTATATACTTTTATCTTAGCTCTAACAAACATATAATCATACAATAATAGTTTTTAATTTTTTAAATGCATACATTACCTGCACACAGAACACTGCCGCTGAGGTTGAAGAGCAGTGAACATAACAATCATAGAATAGTTTCGAGGTGGTGTCTTTATAAATTTTCGGAATTTGTCACCATTCATTCGGAAGATTGAGCGCCTGGAGCTCCATTCCATCAACTGTTCTACTTTCTCAGCTAAAAGATTCTGCAATAAACATAGGAATTTAAATTTACACAGGGTTAAAATTCTTCAGTTTGTACTTCAAGTAAAAAGAATTACATGGGATTATATTTTACCTAAAATTCATTTCTGCTAAAAGTTCTTGTTTTGGTGAACACAGTCATTGTTAACTGACCATATATGCATAAAATATTTCATCTATTTTTCCTAACAATTGTAAAAGTTTATAAAAATAGACATCAAAAGTAAAATAGACTTTCACTTCCAGAAAGATGGAATAGATATGCTTTTCCCTAATCCCCCACTAAAGACAGCTAAAAACTCTGGTCATATGAAAGACAAGCATAAGAAGGCTCTGAAAAGTGGGAAGAAGAAGGAAGGCTGGCTGGTGACCCCAAAATGAAGAGACCGTGGTGGTGAGTGCCCTGAGTTTTGTTTCAGCCTCACCCATCCCAGACTGGTAGCCAGAGACATTGGCAATCCAAGAACACCAATGGACACAAACAAATAAAAACCCCAAGAAAAGCCTGCTCTCTTTACCCAAAGGACAAAAAAGGGAGACCTAGTAAGACAAAAACTAACTGCTCTGGTCTAGCCAAACACCACAGACGAAACACTGCCCTTCCACCACCTCCCTCGCTAGCAAGGGTGGAATGGGGAGCCTCAACCCAACTCTCAATTTCCCTCCAAGCATCAACATGCAAACAGCTTGGAGGGATCTCACGAAGACGAAACTGAGCGAAAGACACGTATGCACAAAAGAGCACTGCGTGATTCTACTTATAGTAAGATCAAAAACAGGAAAAAAATCTATTGTGCTAAAAGTCAGGATAGTGGCTTACTGCAGCAGGAACTGGGATGGTGGGAGGCGTAGTGAGGCGAGACGGTACCATGGAGCTGGGGGCTAGGAAGATTCTCTTCCAGGGTGGGGTGACAGTGAAAGTAACACTCTAGCCTCTGTACAGAACGCTCTTAATCTTTAGATTGTCCATTTTACCTGAAAAAGTCTGAGAAGTAAAAAACTCTACAGGGTTGTATTCCTATAAGAAATTTGTTAGCGTTGGAAAATCAAGAAAGAATGAGTGGTCGGAAGAGAAGGGCTTCAACTGTGCCATTTAAGAAGGACTAAGGACCTAAGCACAGACGAAATCTTAATTGATGAGACGTATGACACCTGAGCACACCAAGCACAGTCTAAGAGTCCTGTACGAAAAGAAAAAGGGCTGCGCTCTGGTCACTACACACGAAAGCTTGGCCAAGACACTTCACCTCTCAGAACCTAGGGACTCATCGATTAACGTCTGACCTTCCAATACATACCTAGATGATTTACTGAGAGATGATAGATAAAAACCTTTGTAAATTATAAAGTACTATAAAATACAAGGCAGTATTGGTAGAAGTATTGTTTTCACTATTGTTAGATAACAAAGGGTGATTTTACCACTATAATCCTATATGTAGTCTACAATTCTTTTCCTGTCAAATTTCCTACATATTCTGAATATACATCAAAACACATGAGAACCACAGTTTTAATTCTGGCTATTACTGGAGAACTTGTGAAGAACATTATATTCAGATTAAATATTAGATGACAAAAAATAAGAAATAAATGGTCTAGGAAGGTAGGTTTTTAGGGCATCATGGTTGATTCAAACTTTCAAGAGCATTTGTTGTAAAGAAGGTTAAGTTAATTCTCAAAGGAAAATGTTACAAGGTGATGGAGTAGAAATATTCAGTAAGGAACAGAAATCTGATTAATGTGAATTCATGCTTTTAAAATCTACTAAGAAAGAATCACAGGTTGAGCTACAGTCCACAAATAGGGTTTATACTATGTTGCATTTCTCTGTGACAGGCATGTGATTTTCTTTAAGGAGAAGGTTGGGTGCATCTGTTCCTTCAAAGTATTTCCTTTTTCAGGGCCATTTGTACCCCTCTTTGTTGGGAATTTTTCTTCATGCTACAGTTTCCCTTACCCAAGACTACCTTTAAGACTTCCCCACCTTCTCTGTCTGTGTGTCCCTTTTGGTCTCTTGAAGAGAGTGATGCTCATGAGTCTCTCTTCCCACTGGAGAATAAAACCTGAAACAAAATCATGCCCAAGGGAATTCTGTGTAGTGAAGGGAGCATGGAAACATCCATAATATGGAACATAGTGAAACCTTTAAAAATTGAAAAGGCACCGTATGTTCATTTTAAAAATAGAACTTAATGGCTCAAGTTTAAATGATGATTCTGTATTTGCATGCAGTGTGACTTGACCAAATAATTTCTCTGAATCTCATCTTCATCTATAAAATTGAAATAATATCTCACAAATTGGTAAAATTAAATGAGTTAATGTATGGAAAACTCCTAGCACAGCATCCAGAAAAGTACAGGCACTCAAATTCTGTTCCCTTCTCCTCGGGTTAATTTCTATCAGCAACCTCAATCAGGTTGCTAAAAGAATAACTACAGAGGGAGTGTTTTTTTTAATCTTATTAGTACTTTAATCTCAAGAGTTACCAAATGTTCTCTGAGTACTTAGTACATAGCAAACATTGTGCTAAATTTCTAAACATGCATTGTGGATTACTAAATACATGACCAGCACTATGCTAAGTTTATGGAAAATGAAAGTACAACAGATCCTACTCTCAAGGCTTTACAGCAAATAAGCTCTAGCTTTAAAAAATATACGTTGCTTATATTGATGTGTTACGGCTGTGGCTCTGCTGTTAAATGGCTTAGTGACAGCTCAGGAAAGGATGGCACACAAGATCTTATTTCTGTGAACACTAACTGACTGGTAGCAGCTAATTTAAATTCAGTACAAAGCACAGTTTTGAAATCCACACTGATACTATCAGTAAAGAGGGTGTGAGCCGTTGAGTTTTGTCTGCTGCTGGCACAAGGCTGGGAAATAGAGACACAGATGCCATACATCTACCATTTCTAAAAGGAAAAAGAAATCTAAAATTTAGAATCTTCAAGGAAGAAACCCTGTCTTTACCTGTTACCTTGTAAAAATCATGGGCCAGCAGGTCCCACATATTAATGAAGGTAAGATACTCAGTCACACTAACTATAGGTACCCAGCCCTCTATTTTTATCTTAATGTTTTTATAAAAACTGAATTGTAAGGCAATTCACTATTAATAAACTGGCATAATCGACATATGCCAGTCCCCAACATATGACATTACTCAATTTTTTCTCAATTCATGTTTTTTTAACCAATTCATAACAAAAATATAAAGAAATGGTACATTTCATTAAACAACATGTAGTGAAATTGTTCATTCCAAAGTGAAGCTTAAACAGGAAAAAAAAAATCTCACTAATGCTTTTATACCCATATTTTTTTCCAGCATTTTATCCCTAGGTAAATTTTAATGATGACCAGATGCACCAAAACAAAGATATGTATGTGGTCTCTTGTCTTAAAAAAACATCTGCCAGAGGGATAGCTATTCGTGTGTCTGTTCTAGTCACCTACGTAGTATTTACACCTACCTAGTATTTGTTCAGGTGCCATATACACTACTATGTATAATATAGATAGCTAATGAAAACCTGCTGTACGGCACAGGGAACTATAAAAAAAGAAAAAGACAAGTATTAGGATATAATGTACAACATAATATAATTAACACTGCTGTATGTTCTATATGTAAATTATTAAGAGAGTAAATCCTAAGAGTTCTCATCACAAGGAAAAAAACTTTTTTTTCTTTTATCTTGTATCTATACGTGATGATGGATGTTCACTAGATTTACTGTGGTAATCATTTCATGACGCACATAAGTCAAATCATGCTGTGCACCTTAAACTTATACAGTGCCATGTGTAAATTATATCTCAATAAAAACGGAAGGAAAAAATAGCCACACTAACTTGCTTACAATAATTCACAGGACATAAATTTGGAATGAGAATAAGAAGTACATGTTGAAGGTATCTCTTAGTGACACACAGAAACTTCATGACCCTTCTGTCCTTCCTTGTATTTTATAGAAAGTCTCTGAGAGGAAAAGAGAGCTGTACTTTTCACAACTTGAATATCCAAGAGGTTCAATCAAAGCCCACTGACAAGGCAAAGAGAAGCAGCCAGATGCATATTTTTGCATTTGGGAGGAAAGTTAGCTTCAATTTCTACAATTATTTGATCCCCAAAATCCTTACTCATTTTCTTAATATCATGCCATTCTTCTCAGATTTGAATAAAATATAAGGGGCAATGAATGCTTCCAGAAATCAAAATATCAGAGATTATACCACCCCATGTATTGATAATTACAAAGTGTTCACTAAAGATCACCAACAGCCTTAAGGGCACTCAGCCTTAAGACCTCAATGAGCTACACAATAAATAGGACAAATACACCATTTTTATCAAAAATAAAAAATGCATACAGTACACATGCCATAAAGAGAGCAAAGATTCAAACAAAGGGTTAGTTAAGAACTTGGCAAATCATCGTACCTCTGCAGGAAATGTAATCTACACTCTACAGGAAAACCTCAACTATCATTACTTCAAAGGTGAAAAAGTGAGAGATTCAAAAATACATTAATCATACTGAGAGTTCCTTGATGTATTTAATATCAAGCTCTTTAAAAGTAAAGAAAGAAATACTGGAAAACCCCAGACCAATTCTTCCTCAGTGTAGCTCCTAAAGAGAACCTGGCTGTGTAACTACAGAAAAGGGAACCCAGCCGGCTACCTAAGGCCAATACCAGCGCAGCTACAAGTTTATATGGGGGAGAGTGTTACATAAGTTTTTAAGTCCAACATGTTAAAGGCAGTATCTAATTCAATTCAGAGCTGAATGAGAAATGTAGAAATAAAGTTATTGGTGAAAATATTTTTTCAAACGTTCATGCTTTTGTAGAAAGGATAGAACTTCAATTGATGGTGCTACAATATTCAATTAAGTGAACTTTTTCTAGAGACTCAGTAAAAATATTTCCAGTGACACTCTTTTAAAAGTAGTGACTTTATTAACCTGAACTCTCCCCAGAAAAT